AAGAATTACATACTTTTACACACTTTTCGTACAAAGAGCAGCCATTTTGTCGGGCAGTTCGTTTCGATCTTCCCCTTCATAATGGTGGAATAGTGATATATTTAAATGGTTTTTAAAATCGGATAAAAAATCCACAAACTAAAAAGCACATTTTTTTCGTAAAATCAGGGGCCGTAATCCAGGAAATTACAGTCTGATATAGCGAATGGAACCAAGATCTTTGGGACATAAACATATCTTTTAAGTTTCACCAAAATCAGATAACAATTGTGACTTCTAGAGGGTCCACAACCTTGGTATGACATACTTTCACATCATTTGAGTACAAGGAGCCGCCATTTTGTCAGGCAGTTTGGTTCGATTTTCACAAAATTGGAACTCAACCGTTATTAGGGAGAAATGGCGGTAAATTGGATAGAAATTGTGACCTCTAGAGGGTCCACAAGCAAAATATGTGATTTTGCGTACAATCAGAGGTCATAATCCAGGAAATAACAGACCGATATGCGCAAATATCAAAAGAACCACAATCTTTGGATTATAAACATCCAGTCCAAGTTTCATCAAAAGCGGATAAAAATTTTAACTTCTAGAGTGTCCACAACCTGGGTGTTACCTACTTTTACACTATTTGCATACAAGGAGCAGACATTTTGTCCAGCAGTTTCCATCAGATTTTTACGAAATTCGAAATCAACCTTCACTGTTGTGTAACGGTGACATATTTAAACGTTTTTTAAAATTGAATACAATTTGTGACTTTTAGCAGGTCCACAAGCTAAAAATGTGATTTTTCGAAAAAATCAGGGGCCATAATCCAGGAAGTTACGTTGAGATATGCACGCTTATTGAAAGGAACCATGATCTCTGTGATATAAACATAGATTTAAAGTTTCATCTAAACCGGATAAAATTTTTAGCCTGTAGATGGTCCACAACCTTAATATACCATATTTTTACACTATTTGCTGCGAGGGGCGTTCATTTTGTCCGGCAGTTTTGGTCTTATTTTCATGAAATTTGAACTCAACCAACATGACCGGTGTAACAGTGATATTTGCAAACTTTTTTTTTTAATCGTATAATAATTGTGACCTCTAGGGGGACCAAAAGCTAAAAATGCGATTTGTCGTACAATCAGGGGCCATAATTCTGGGAGTTACAGTACGATATGTGCGAATATCGAAAGGAACCAAGATCTTTGGGTTATAAACATTGGATGAAAATTGTGACCTCTAGACTGTCCACAAGCTAAAAACACAATTTTTCGTACAATCAGGGCCCATAAACCATGAAGTTATAGTCCGATACATGCCAATATCGAAAGGAACCAAGATCTTTGGGAGACAGACCTATATTTCAAGTTTTGTCAAAACTGTGACCTGTAGAGTGTCCACAAACAAATTAAGACGGGCAGACAGAGTGACCGACGGACGGTCAGAGGCAGCAACAATATTTTCATGTGGACGTATAAAAATAGGTTATCAAATTTATTTATTTTCTCCATCGAAAATTCAATTCTGCAATCTCAATCCCAAAAGTGGATTTAGAAGTTGAAGACTAATTACAACTTGTGATAGATTTCAGGTTGACCAAATCATGTGGTCAAAATTGATCTTTATTCCCAGATCAGATAAAAATAAAAGATAACCCAAGTTGTTGTTTTATATCATGGAAATGAAAAAGCTTTGACAAAAATATTTAGATGGGTTGAAATTTTTAAAACAAATCACCAACAAAAACCCTTGGTCTGCATGACAGATGATTGGGGCATCTGTAAAACATGAATAGGACTATAATCAATAGCCTGTGGATGACATACCTTTCTTGTCTTTTTCTTTGTTATCTCTGCTTCTTCGTCGCTTTTCCCTTTCTGCAGAACGTGAATGACGCCTTCTCTCTCGCTCTTTTTCTCTTCTTTCTCGACTTCTTGATCTACTTCTTATCTTATCTCTATCCCATTCTCGAATAGGCTTTTCTTCTTTCTTTCTCTTTTCGCGACTCTCTCTCTCTTTTTCTCTTTCCTTTTCTCGTTCTTTTTCTTTATGAACATGTGGTCCAGGTTTAGCTCTAAGTATATCAGTTGTTTCATTACTGTCTTTATACTCTTCAAACTATAAAATAAAGATCAACTATTTAAGATGGAAACAATAAAAAAAAAATTGGGCTCACAAGTGAACACTGGTTTAAAGTCAGTCTTAAGCCCATTCCATACACAGTAATTCAAAAGAAGCTGTAATTAGCAATGCTTTCTATAAAGATTTGATCTGCTCTCATCTTGCAGCGATATTCAAAGATTCTACCATTTTACTGTTTAAACATACATTATGCAAGAGCTAAATCTGCTTATTGCAGGTCTTTTTTTAGGCCTGAAATGTTATACATTATGGGAGATTAGATAAAGAGCTGGCAGTTCTGACTATAATAGTTAAAAACTAGATAATGTAAAGAATTTGCTGAAAATTTCAGTCAAACTGATCCACTCTGAACAACCGGGGAATCAAAACCATGCCAGTTGACTCGATGACAGACCTTATGATTCAGCGCGCACATGCTAACCATTCGGCCATCCGACAAAACAGGCAAGGTTTTATAAACATTAAGGCATATCGTTAACATTGCCCTAGTCGTTAAATGCATCATACTAACTAACACCATGGGAATTTACAAACAATTAGTTAGACCATAATCATCATATCATACAGTATACCTCTTCTTTTGTTGAAAAATCTACTCGCAATACTTTAGGATTGGATGGTGGCCATCTTGTTCCATGTAAATTCTTTCTGGCATCTTCAGCACTTTCAGAGGTTTTATACTGGAAGAAAAATAATATCGTCATAACATGAGCTTAATGATTTATTGCTTAGCTTGTTACATGTAAATGCTTTGTGTCACTTGATTCAATGTGTTTTCAGTAAGTTGATTTGTATGAAATGAAATAGGGATTAACGTCCTACTGTTCTGCACCAACTGGGCTATGGAAGACAGGCATACGCCATACAGTATGCGATGAGGGAAATTTGGTCCGGGTAGCGGCACTATGGCCTACTATCATATCGAATTCCAACTGCCAAGGGATCTTTTACGTGCTCACCAATGTAAACACGGGACCACGGTTTTTCGTACCATCTAAACGACTAGACTGCTGTCCTTGTCAGGCCCCCTGTGGGTTGATTTGCATATATCCGCCAAAGACTATTTTGATTACCTTGCCAGAAGATTAATGTTGCTAATGTTTTAATTTCTAGATGACTTGATTATCAGTCATTATTTTAAAGCGGCTGGTCATTATATCTCAGATTTTGAATCTTGTACAAAACTTTGATTTTGAGAAAGCTTAAACTCCAAAAGTAAAATTGATCCAAAAAGGTTCAAATTTGTACAGCATTTACACGATAAATTAAAAATTCTGCAATTTTTGACATCCTATACAGACGATCTACACAAGACAGTGCCACATGTAAGTGTTGGGTTACATGGCCCCTTTTTAATCCAATTGGAAATAACTTACCACAGCAATACAATGAGATTTGATAGTATTAATCCAAAAACCATCATCTTCCATATCACCACTTCGCTTCAGTAATTCTTTCAACTGTCCGAGAGTAAATGGCCGAACTAAGTTGTGTATGTGCACTACGTTAGTAACAGGATTACGAGGTGGTGAGGGACTTCGTCTAGCTGCCGTAGGTTCATCTGGTTCCTGTACCACTTTATTTAAACGTCGAATAATTTTGGGTTCTGAAACATAATAGAAAATTTAGAATAGCAAGATCGGAAAGTAACATTGTAATTTTCAAAATGTTCATTTACCTTCAAAATAATCTTAATTAAAACTTGTACATCATTTTGATTGGGCCTGTTGAAAAATCAAAGGCATACCAGATTCAAATACATAACTACCTTTGGCTGGTTTAACTTCTGTATCAACTACTCCTTCAGAATCAGAATTCTTCACTTCAAAAACTTTCTCCTTTTCCTCTACTGTTCTTTCTGAAGTTACCTATAAGGTAAAATCCAAATGTTCTATCAACACTATTGAAGTCTGTACAAAAGGTGGAATAAAATAATCACTTGTACTTTATTTGAATAGTTTTCTTATAAAATGAAATCAAGTTTAACGTCTTACTGTTCAGCTTCGACTGGGCTAAAGAAAACAGGCATACACCATACAGTTTGCTATGAGGGAAATTTTGCTCGGACAGAGGCTTTACAAACTATTCTTTTATCGTATTCCAACAGCCAAGGGATCTTTTACGTGCACGCCAATGTGTACACAGGAACTCGGTTTTACATCCCAACCGAACAACTCCATCTTGCACCACTGACAAGGGGAAACTACACCGGAAAATCCCGATAAACTTTCTCGGTCAGTTTTCTTATATTCTTGTAACATAATTAAGAGTGTATTGAAGAGCAAATGGAATAATTGAACACAATCAGATTATTTCAGGACTAATACACAAATTTTGTTGTCTTTATTTCATTGCTTCATATTGGTATAGGACTTTTTGTCCGCAAGATGAAATCATTGATTCATATGGAGAAAATTCACAAACCTGCAGAACTGTGCGTCTTATTTTGACGTCTCTTTTATCTTCTTCTTTATCTGATAATACATCATTATCCCCACCTAGGTCTAATACTGGTTCTGTACTTAATAAAGGTGGTATAACATCACTGATTAACCCCTGGAAAAAAAACCATCAAAAGTTTAATTCATTTCAATAAAGAAATAGTAGCAGCTTTATCAACTATACCAATACCTAAGCCAATACCCATGGCTCAGGAAATTCTGAAGAAATCTGGATAATGGTTATTTGATTATATGACCAAGCTTGGAAATTTCTATATATTTAATTTATAGGAGACAGTTGTGTTGTGAAAGGAAGAAATAGAAATCAATGTGAATAATGGAATCATGTTCATCATACCTTCAATGATTCTGTGGATATTTCTAAACTAGTTGATTTCTTGGCAGATTTTGAAGTTCCCCATTTCCTTTTCTTTATTGGTTTTTCTTTCCTTTCTTCCTCCTTTGGTTCTCCAGTCTCTTCTTCCTTCTTGATGCCCTCTTCTTCAGCTAAATATAAATAGAATCTATTTGAAATACTGCTCTACCTTAAAGCAAAGGTAGGTACATCTAACTTCATAAAACACCCCTGATGGCCTGGGTATAACAACAATGTGATCCATTTGGATCATTATACTTGCAGTATTCTGTACAAAATTCATTTTGGAATGATGGTCAAACTGAATCTTATTTCTAATTTATCACCACAAGACAGGTTGCCAGGCAACAAAACATACATCGATTTGTTTACAAAATAAATAAAACATTTGGCCACAATATCTTATTTTAGTATATACTAAACAGCAAAAAAACCAATGTCAGTACGCTTTCAAAATCAGAGAGGCACTTTAATCAAATCATTCTAGAAAGCGACATACTAAATGGATCAAAGCAATTTTTTGTGAACAGTATGTTGACACATTAGTGATTAATTCATCACAATTCCAAGACATTACAAGAAGGTTTAGAGTCTGTACAGCTTGATCGATGTAGCGCACTGCTGTGATGCCGCTTCCTCTCCCTGGACCAAGATTTTGCAACACCACAGGACCCACTCTCTGGTTCAGGCCGATTCCACCCCAAACCATTATGCTTGGACCTCCCCATGAGTCTCGTTCCATGACACATTGGTCAGAATAATGCTGGCCACGTCGACGCCATATTCTGGTCTTGTCATCTGCAGTTGATACGAAATAATGACTCATCTGTGAACAGAACAGTTCTCCATTGCTTGTGTCGCCACTTCTGGTGTTATTGGGCAAACTGTAGACGCTCACATCAATGGCGAGGGGTGAGGAATGGTCCACGGTAAGGACTACGGCAATGGATGTTCTCTCTGTTCCCACTGTCTGACGTGCTGTCTCAGATGCCTGTGTGAAGGGATTCTGCATGTGTCTTGTCGCCTTGCGGTAACCCTTGGTCTACCAGTTCGGGGGCGATCATCCGTGATGTTGGTGGCCTGAAAGCATTGCTGAAGCCTGTAGATGGTCCGAACATTGACCTGGAAGTGTTTGGCTACGGCTTGGACAGTGTGGCCAGCATCAAGTCTTCCAAGCGCCTGGTTCCTCTGAACTGTCATGAGTCGTGGAATGCTGCCGACGTTGTAGTGTGAATGATTCAACCAGGTATGGGGGTGAATTTTTATAGAGCTGGTCCCGGTGAACACATTACCATCTCAGAAGTCAGGTTGTGTTTTTTAGAACATTTCCTGGGTTCAATTCTGTGTTTGGGAAGGAACCTTACTGCTCAGGTCAAGTTGGAGATGTGGTCACAAATATACAATAAAAACATTTGGCAAGTTTTATGCAATGCGTCTATTCGGAGTAACATACCAACCTGACGTTTCTTTTGCTGCTTAGTATATCATTAAATAAATTTAATTAAGTAAAAGGTTCATACTTGTTCTTAGGGATTTTCTTCGTAACAATTTAGGTACATATGTTTCTTTAGGTTTAGCATCAACCTGAAAAATAGGGAAGGGACTTAATGACAAAGGAGTAAGAATAGGTAATCAACATATAATATCTGAGGCTTTAACAGCAATGATTTTATTTTCAAAGGATAAATATTTAAAATTACTTAAAGATGTTTTCCGGGACTCAAGTATTCTGAAGAAAAATTAAGGCACTTTGTATACTCTTAATATTAAGATTAAAAATAATTCCTGTCCAAAGGGGGATAATGATGTGGATTAAATACCAAAATACACTACATATCACACCAACATCTGTCATCAAGTGGTTGTGGGCAGTAACAATCTAAAGTCAATTATATGGGTCTACAGTCGAAATCAGTAACAGCTGATTTTGGTTTAGTTCATTTAATAAACTGGTGGAATATCTTGCATCTTCAGAAAACATTTGTGTTCAAAGTCTATTTTTCAAGATCACTTTTAAAGAAAATTATCAAACCACTTCAAGCACTATTCGTTTGGAGAAGTTGCTGTTGTCGACACAATGTTTATATCAAATATATTTTCACAAATCGATCTGATCACTATTAAAGTATCTTCAATTTGCGACAATTCACTAACCACTTTGTTTATCATAAAACAATTTTTCCTAAATCACAACATCGTCACTGAAAGGATAAGTTTTGTATGTTTATGTCACATAAAAAGGTTAACTGCATATTTGCGATTCACTCCATCCACAATACTCTAACAGTTCATATTAATCTTCTAATCACAACATTAAATGCTGATGGCACTTCACGATGAGTATCACAGCATCAAGCTTCTTTCAGCATTCACGAACATCTGGAATATAACTGAGTACACTGATTAAATGCCAACACAGCATTTACAACATCCAGAACATCCAAGATTGATTGAATGTCAGTTTTTTCAAAAATATCAGGAGCATGGCTGATTGAATGTCAGTATTCTTCAGAACTTCTGGAACACAGCTTATTACATCAATACTGATTGAATTTCAGTAGTATTACAATAATACTAAAAGAATATCAGTATTTTTCAGGAAGAGCACGAACATAGCTGATCACATCAAGACTGACTGAATGTCAGTATTTTTCAGGAACAGCAGGAACATGGCCGATTGAATGTTTGTATTTTTCAGGAACATGGCTGATTGAATGTCAGTATTTTTGGGGAATGCCTGGAACACAGCGTATTACATCAACACTGATTGAATGTCAGTATTTTTTGGAACAGCAGGAACATGGCTGATTGAATGTTTGTATTTTTCAGGAACATCAGGAACATGACTGATTGAATGTCAGTATTTTTGGGGAATGCCTGGAACACAACATATTACATCAATACTGATTGAATGTCAGTATTTTTCAGAACGCTGATTACATCAATGCTGATTTTTCGGTACTGTCTGGAACATAGTCAATGCCAGCATATCAGGATCCACTTCATTAATGATTGATTGGAATAGTTGATTATGTCAATACCTATTGAATGTTAGTATTTTTAGGAACCTGTGGGACATAACCGATCACCTCAGCACTGACCGAATGGCAGCATTCAGGAACATAGTTGATTACACTAATACTAATTGAATGTTAGTTTTTATGAACATCCAGAACATTGTTATTACATCAATATTCAATGGCAATCTTCAGGAACCACAATTTCAAAGTAAACCAAGTATATTCAAAGTGATTTTCATCCAAAAGAGAAATCCTGGGGAAAATAAAATTGTTCATTTCCCAGATTGTGTCAAATATTATTGGATGTTTTGTCACTTTTGATCCAGCTTGCTTAGCACTACTTGGATCCTGATGCATTTTGTGTTCTCACTTCGAAGACTTCCATCCATCTATAAGATTTTATCCTCTAGGAACCTTTCAGGAATTTCATCATGGTAATTAGCTTATGGGTACCGTACTAGGATCATCATGGGGTATGAGATACATGTTTCTACAAGAAGCCCATTTGTTGTGGTGCGCTGCCAACACTTGACCTATCTACGAGTTAACGATGAAACATAGTTGAACCAAGGATGGAGAAAAATACAAATGCACAATAATTTTGACTAAATATGGTTGGTCATAAAAGCCCAATTTTATGTTTGATTTATAGCACTCTATTCAAATTGAAATTGAAATTACATGAAGTCCAAACTAATTTTGAATTTGGTCCATTTCTTGAGTCTGTAAGACACCCAAGTATAATGGAACTTAATGAGCTATCATTTTAGATCTGGAATGACCTCATGAATTAGATTACTTGGAACTTGACAAGCTAAAATTTTTGATCTGAAATGATCTCATGAATTAAATTACTTTTAGTGCATTTTTAAAATTCAATAATATTTTCACTGTAATATGACAAGAGTCACCTGACAGCAAGCTTTATATATTAATAATAATATTCAAGCCATCTCCATCCCTGGTACTTACAAAATTTGGATATAATTAACAGTGATAAATACCTTTTTAATTGCATCTACTGTTGGACTAACCACATCATCAACCTCCATTTTAACCTCCTTTCTTTCACCTCTACATCAAAGCAAAATATGTACCCATATTATTTTAAAGCATCTTATTTGCAGAAAATATCACATTTTCCATGACTAAATATACGCTAAAATGTACTCAAACATAAGAAAACAAACACTTTAAGCTTTCGTACTTGGAATAATCTTAAATAATGCCTTCTGTTTATCTCTCTATGACATCATTTATTGTATTAGTCATTTTGTTTTCCAACTAAATAAGGAAGTAAAGCTTTGAAGGGTTGCATTTGAGAAATCTGGAGGTTTACAAGACACAGTATGGATGGCGTATGTTTTAACTCCATGCAAAAACTGGACATGGTTGGCTTTTATAAATAGTAGGGTGCCCTGTGCAGCGAAAAGTTTTCTCTACTGAAAATTGAACTTAACACGGCAAATGTGCACGCTTCAGTGGCTTGTCTCGCAGTGATTTCTGGCTAGTAGCCATCGCACGTGAAATTCTCTACACATTTATCAAATATTACAGCCGTAAACCTGCAGCTGCCAGGAGGGTATATCCACATTTTGCAAGAGATGGATAGAGAACAAGCTAAAAATAAACGCGATTTTTTGTACAATCAGGGGCAATAATCCAATCAGGCGGAGAATGGTCAATAGACTGGTGAGACTAATTTCAAAACAAGGGCATGTAACCTATTTTTTACTCAAAAGTGCCCGGATGTTATGGCCGATACTAAACCATTTTTCAGTCTATTATTTAAGGATGGTTAAATGGTCATGGCTTATTAAGTACAACATAACTGTTTATTTAGTGACTACAAATGTGCAAAACTGATTTAAGGCTTGGTATATATATATAAATATTGTGGTGTAATTGTCAAGACATTTGGAGATATTTATTTATGTTGGAGCACCCTATAAATAGCAATATAGTTACTTTAACATACTTTTCTTTATCAGAAGCCTGCTTATCCTTATCAATGTCTTTTATTGGTGATCCTGATTCTTCTTTCATTACACTTCGCTCGGGACTAGATTTTGTCTGCAATTAAAACATGAATGTCAACTCAATAAAATACCCAACAAAGCTTTATTTTTTTTTAGAATCTAAATTTATGTACAATGTCATGTACATACCGTATTTTTCGGTGTATAAGGCGCACTTTTTTTACCAGGTATTTTATTTTCTAGAAGGGGTGCGCCTAATACATAGTATTAAGCAAATCTTGGCTTTTCTGTGTGTCAACATCGAGGTCTGAAGTTGATCATATCGACAACAGCAATAAAGATGGCGGTCATTTCCCATACCGATATCCCGTATACCGTTAGTCATAGACGACAGTGGCAACAATATGGGTCAATAGCGGTTTAGTGTTATTAAAATATCTGCAAAGATATCGTAAATAATTAGATGACATATTTTTCTGCTATTCCGACATTCCGATGTCGTCATTTTTCGTGCAATAAATATGGCGGCCATTTAAGATACGGTATCGGCTTTTCCGTATACCGTTAGTCATATTTCTATTATTCCGGCTTTTCCGTATACCGTTAGTCATAAACGACAGTGCTAACAATATCTGCAAAATTATCGTTAATATTTCTATTATTCCTGCGTATTTGATGACATATATTTCTGCTAATCCGTTTACCGGTACAGTTAGCCACTGTCGGCAATCCAAACAGTGTGTCGTCAACGGTGATATCAGTCAAGTTGACGAAAAGGCGGGGCTTACGACAGACAAAGAGTTTTCATTGGCTATTAGAAGGGTAATTTCCATTGAGCACACGCTCATTATACCATAGGCTATGGGTATTGTCTGTTACAATGACAGCGTTAATGGGCGGGATTACAGTTAAACTGACAGAATACCAATTCTCTCTCAATTTGAGGATAACGTGCGGCACTCCACCTATTCGCTTCTTTACTAGGTTTCATGTCGGTAAGTTTCCCCTTCATCGCCCTCCGACGTCTCACGTTTGACTCCCCCAAACTAAATTCACGACCCGCGGCCCTATTACCGTGTGCTTCAGCGTAACTGATAACCCTCAACTTCTCCTTAGCGGTATAAGCGGTTCGTCTCGTAGCCATTCTGAATAAATAATTTTTAAGAATGATGGAATGTTCACTGGTGTTTTATATACATCGGCGTGTTTTCTTTGAGCAAGACTGTCTTTTAGTAACCGTTTTAAGTTACCGACGGTTTTCATTCAACATGGATTCAGTGATTGGCCCATTGTTATAATTTACCGGTATAGTTAATTATCTACCAGTGAGTTGTTATCGTTTTCTTTATAAAGTCGTTTGTAGTTGACAAAATCATTGTTTCTTTGATTGGTATTAAAAATGCTATTGTATTATTTTACCGGTATAGTTAATTATCTACCAGTGAGTTGTTACCGTTTTCTTTATGAAGTTGTTTGTAGTTGACAAAATCATTGTTTTTTTGATTGGTATTAAAAATGCTATTGTATTATTTTACTGATAGATCTAAATGGCTACAATCTGGGTACTGTCATGACGCGTGGAGTGGGCGGGGCAACAGACGCTATCGTTTGTCAGTGGTTTGCATAACTTGGAGTAAACTGGAATTGTTGTTTCTCTTTTACCGGTAGTCAGGATTTAAGTTGTGAGTAGCTGATCATGATATATTATTTCTACAGGTATTATTTAATTTGTTTATCATCAAAACCGATTCATTTATCACAGACAATTACTCACGAATTTTACACGATGTAATAGACGGCCATGTTTGTTGTGGGCGGGACTTGAATGACAATTTCACTACCGTACGAGCAACAGAATTACAGCTGAAAGTTATGCAATAATGCAATTGCGTGTTATAATTAATATAAACAAATGTAACAAAAGCAATTTATTTCATAAAGAAATATAATTATATAAAGCTTGATACGGCTAAATATCGGTAATTATTATAACTGTAAACAATAGAGTTTGACCTAGTTACTGGAGATCGCAGGTGGATTTGAGTCACATATGTTATGGCACGAGTTTCACATGCGCTGGGAAAGGGTGCGCCTAAGCCACGCATATTTTTTTTTTCCTGAAACACCTCTGCCACAGTCGCCCTGCGCCTTATCTACGCATGCGCCTTATACACCGAAAAATACGGTATGTGTATTATTATTTGTTTCCTGTTAATCACTTCAAAGATAGTTTCTAAGTTGGCAGATGTCTTGGATTTATGCCGCTGATCTGAATTCAGATTTATAGAGATCAAATATTTGACGGTGTTACAAATTCAATGTTAGAGAAAAATAATTACCACTGCTGCAATTTTTGCTGTCTTTGGCTGTGGTTCAGGTGATGGTGATGCAGATTTTTCTGACAATGGAGACTGCCGACCAGTTTTCTTTACTGACACTACTGACCCTTTTGGGCCTTTTTTTACTGGTGTTTCATCATCAGAAGAATCTGAAGAACTACTGGAATTAGATGAACTAGAGGAAGATGGTGATCGATCACGTGAGCCAGAACGAGACCGATCTCTGGACCGAGATCTAGATTTACTGTTATCATCTGACGAATCAGAGCTTTTAGACCTTGAGATCCTCCTAGAGGCATATTCTTTCTCTTTTGATTTTGATTCTGTTGGTGTATAAGATCTGCTTTTCTCTATTTTTGGATTTTCCTTACTTTCGTCCAGTTTTGCAGTCAGTACAGATTTAGGAGTTTTTTCTTCAGCTTTTTCGGATTTGTTTCCATCTCTAGATTTTGAATCTGCTTTGGATTCGGTGAATTTAGAAGAATGCTCTGTCTTGTCCCCTAAAGATTTTTCTGCGACTTTAAGGTTTTCTTTTGATGAACGTTTTTCTTTTAAAGGAACTTCATTTTCTGTACTTTTAGAAGATTCTTTAGTAGAAGTATCTGTAGATACTTCTATGTTTCCCAATGAATCTCTAGAGGAGCGACTGGGTCTCTTAGAATGTTTATCTTCTTTATCAATTTCTTTTTCAACTGGTTTATCTTTATCTTCTTCAATTCTATTTAATCTACGAGGCCTAGAAGATGATTCTTTTTCTTCCTTATCAACATCTTTTTCTGATAAAGAAGTAGAAACTTTCTTTGGTGTTTCTTTACTTTCTTCAATGGGTCCCTTATTCCAGCGATTCCTCTTGGACTTTACCACTTCTGGGGTGATTTCTTTGTTATCTTCAACACCAGCCTCTGGATCTTTCAGTTTAGGTTCAGGCTGATGTGAAGGTTCAACATTTTTAGAATCTGAAGTCAATTTCTTGTCATCTGCTACTTCATCAGTTTCCCGCATGCCTTCTTCCTTTTTACTTTCACTTCCTTCCACTGTTTTTTCTTTTTCTTTTCCATTTCTTTTCTCCTCCTTCAATGTATGTTTGCTTGGTTCAGGAGTTTGGTTAAGTTTCTGCCTAGTTACATGTTCTTCTGCTAATTTTCTTCTACTCCTGTAATATAAATAATACTCTGGTGTAAAACTTCTAATTCTAAGACAAATTAAGTAGGCTAACATATGCAGGCAACAAATTGTTTAAAGTAGCTAAGTCTTAACTCAGTATCATCCAAAGTCGGACATCGAAAACACGAATTATTTGTAATTTTAAATCAACATTGGTGTTGTTATCTTGTCTTGAAAAGATGGGCTTCTGATATCCAATATACAAGACAAAATAAACATTTTATCATTGGTACACGAATCGTGTACCATAATGCGTTTCAGAGCCATTTGTAAAAGGGGACTCGAAGAACGAGGCTAGACAATTCCACAAATCATGTCAAACGGTGAAGCCATATTCTTATCTGGAGAGCATGCGCAATAAATACTATCGGCGTAGACTGGAATAACCAGACACTATAGATAGCCATTCGATTGACACTTCTGGCGTATTTCGTCGAACATACATACGTAACTGATTTGAAATTAAGAGTAAAAACGGAAACGATTGAATATAAATCAGTTTATATACATTCATATTACATTATTATATGCGTTGTGACCCATTTGTGTCAATTTCTAGGTCCCAAATATTAGCGATTTAGCTCCTTTAAGTCAGCTTCTTTTTACAAAGTCCAGATACATCTACATGACAGCATAAAGTCTAGGCCTACCAGGTAATTATTAACTTTACATACTGAATTTTGTAGCCATAAGCTACGGTAATTATCTGTTACCCTTTGGGCAAGCAGCAGATAATATGCTCTATTGTTCAGAATCTGTATTTTTACTAATATGTGCTAGTGCTAACAATATTTGTTTACCCAATATTCAATAAGATTATGTGCAGAACCCTTTGGAATTCTGAAGAAATACAAAACCATGTCTTGTGTATTTCTTGAAGGCATGATATTACTCTGAGCCATGTTATTATCATGTGAACAAGAAAATGAATTGCACATTTAGCACTTTCAGACCTACAGTTCCAATACCCAGGCCGTGAAATACAGTGTACGAGGTAAGCCCAAGATTAACAATATTCAAATCTAATACCTTGATCGGTTGTTGTTGGGTGATGGTGATCTAGATTTGACTGCTTTTTCATTACTTTTTTTTGCAGATATCACTTCATCTCCAATATTGTTGGTATCTACTAAATATACAAAATAAGCTTAAATAACAGTGGTTCAAATTTTAAAGTGGCCAAGAACATGCAAGTCGGAATAATTTGTTGTCATAAATCAGCTTTAATCATACTAATTTTTGAAAATGCATTATTAATTTAAAAATTGTAACAGTAAGCTTATTCTTCTGGCTGCCAAGCAATTTAAGAACACAAGTTTTCAAATGTTGTGTTTGGAAAATATGGGAGGTGTATGTGACTAAGAATCAATAAGTTTTTAGATGACATAATATATCATATTTTAACTCAATGCAAAGACTGGACGTGGATGGCCATTTGCTACTTTAAACACTACATGGTAGCTATTATAAATAGAAAAATACATTTACATGTACAGGGCTTGCCACAAATAAAATGATGGCAAGCAATTAAGCACTCACGCAACATTAACCTTGCACAAGTATGGCAAGTGGTTAAATTTACTCATGCAAGTTCGTTTTACGTGAGCAATAGGCTGCATATCAATAAAGACAAAGATAGGTTGCCAGTCAACGAAACATACGCCCACAGCAGCTAAATCGTCCGGGCAGTCAACAAGAGTTGTCGCATATTTTTCCTTTTTTCGGTAATGAAACATTCATAATACACTAAAATCTGATTAAGAGTAACAACTCATTAAGTATTTATCAGAAAATCATTAGAATTTGTTTGGTTTTTAAAAAGTTCTGCCCCATGCTAACATTTAGTATACAAAACATTTAATATCATGGATTTAGCTGTTTCAAGACCTTACACTCTGTGTATCAATTTGAAGTCAATCGGATTATAACTTTGGCCTCTAGAACGTCACAAGATTTTTCAAAGTGATCAAGGGCCATAACTTTGGCAGTAATTATCGGGTATTGTTAAAAATCAATAGAATTCTTCATCTCATAACCTCAAACACATTTAAAGTGAATTGGATATTAGCTTTAGCCTCTAGAGCGTCCACAAGATTTTTAGAAGGGATCACGGGACATAACTCTGGCATTAATTATCCGAAATCGCTGAAAATCAATAGGCTTTTTCGTCTCATGACCTTAAATACTGTGTATAAATTTAAAGTCAATCACATATTAACTTTGGCTTCTAGAGCGTCCACAAGATATTTTGAAGTGATCAAGGGCCTTAACTCTTGCAGTAATTATCGGAAATTGCTGAATATCAATAGGCTTTTTCGTCTCATGACCTTAAACACTGTGTATAAATTTAAAATCAATCGGATAATGCTTTACAAAACAAATTCCTTACCACATACTATGACATAGCTTTCAATAATAACAATATTCAAAATTAAACCTCTGTCAGCATGTGCATAAAATGAATAAGCATAACAGTGAACCCTATTTAAAACTAAATCTAGCATCGCTTCGTTTATTACTAATTAGTAAAACACTAATTTTACTTTAAGTTTTAATTGAATATCACAAATTTGTACTGAATTGACTATGGATCAAAACATTTTGTCTGGAGCCACTATACTTTGTGCGACATTTTGGAGAATAAAATAGCTTTATTTTGTGTTAAAAGCCCTTAAAATCCTCTACCTTTGGTTGGAGCAGCTAACTCAATGTAAGCGATACGTTTTCAAACAACTTAAACCTGTCAGTTTTTATCTGGAAATTGAGACCGGTGTCCCAAGCTGTACTATATGGTGTCTGGATAAAACCAGATTTATCGTTATCAAGTACAGCAAGTGAGCCATGCACTGTATAGACCCCTAAAAGAACGGCAATAGATTATCAGGTCACCCAACGAAAAAATTGACCTGAAATCTTAAAAGGTTATGTGTCCTGATAAGCGGTTTTGAGCTGAAATTTTGCGACAAGGTAAATACACCATTCGTCTATATTTTGGCGCTTAATTATATTTCATATGTACATGGACTTTGATTTCTGAGACTCTTTTTAAATCAGGATAGTCCCTTTAATTATGAATGCAGCTGCAACAGTCTGGTTGGAATTCAGGTCGGCATAGAGTGGGATTTCAGTTACAAAACCATTGGACAACTTTCAGTTGCTTAACTCATGAGCTAGAATTGCAGAAAAACGCATTTGCCTCTTGTTAGATTTTGAAAATTTCAATGGGAGCGTGAGGCCCCCAAGCCCCACGACGATTGATTGGTTACATGGACTTTGATTTCGGAGACTCTTTTTAAATCGGGATAGTCCCTTTAATTATGAATGCAGCTGCAACAGTCTGGTTGGAATTCAGGTCGGCATAGAGTGGGATTTTGGTTACAAAACCATTGGACAACTTTCAGTTGCTTAATTCATGAGCTAGAATTGCAGAAAAGCGCATTTGCGGCTGTTAGATTTTCAAAATTTTCAATGGGAGCGCGAGGCCCCCATACCCCACGACGATTGATTGGTTGTTTGGGATTCAGGTCAGCCACCTATAAGTTAGGCTATATTGGACCACACTGAAGTTGCTGGAAGTTGCTGAAAGTTGCTGGAGTTTGAGGCAGTTAAATTTGCAAAATTTTCTCCCGACGGTACCGTCTCCGTCGACTGTAAATGATGATTGGTTGATTGGAATTCCACTCAGCCATTTTAATTAGGCTATATTAGACCACAGGTTAGAATAGCAAAAAATGTGTTTGGGGTCGTCAAATTTTCCAAAATTTTCTTGGGTGGGGGGGGGGGGGGGGGGGGGAGGGTGTCCCTACACGGTAAGCTCCATTCTAACAGAAGATCGGCAGTGCATCCTTTAACCGAAAATGTTTTCGGGCATTTCGAGTTTTGCCCCCAACTGTCATTGAACCGATACGCCTATGTGGATCGAGCGTCATGACGGCGCGAATCCCGAGATTCACAATGCCGAGAAGCGACTTGGATTATGGACCACATAGTATGACTGTTATTGTAGTCGATAAGTAAGTTGATTGACTTCTTAATCATGTAATTTAGCCAAAATAGATTAAATTGTAAAAACAATAAATATTGACTAAAAAAGCAATGAGTTTGATAACAACTGTCCTTTGAACGATGTCCACGACTATATACTCACGCAAAAACAATTATTTGTGTATGATGTCATGCAACAGATTATTTTTCTTTCTGCAGCGATATTATTACAGAACGAAATTAACAATTACTCTACTTTAATCAACTTATTAAACAAAAAATTGAATGCATAAAATGTTATAAATTGCATTAAATGTCACATAAATCAACGATGAACTTCTTCATTCGTTATAACTTAGTAAGATTACTACAGTTTCGCTACGAGGAGCATATTCAAAAATGTGTTATTTATTAGCAATTTTAATAAATTCATACAACTTGGCCTGAAGCTATTTGATTTTTTACAAAAAATGTAACGCTATAAGAAAAGCTTTACTGGTACTGGCAGTACTCGTTTCAAGTATGTGAACATGCACATTAAATCATTTTAGTTGTAAGTCTTTATTGATGTACCGGCATGCTGTTCAAAACTAGACAAACCATGATTATTTTTAATCAATATGGATCGACAAAAGCTCACTAGTGACAATTTTGTTAATCTTTTTAGATAAAAGTAAAAGGCTCACGTCCTCTGAAAGAAAAATTAGAGTGTTCATTGTTTTTATATTAATAATATCTGTGGGCATATGGGCTGATGAAGGTTGTTTTTTTTTTGGTGTGGGGTGACCTGCCACCCCCAAAATGGAGTCACTACAATATCTGTGTCACTGAATGGTGTTTATTATAATAAATAAAGGCAATCTTATAATATAGGCCTAATTATAATTAAGGCACTAGGGCCAGGGGAGGACAATGAATAAATTAATATACACACATGCAGTCATACATCTACTGCAATCATTTACATCCACTGTTAGCTTGAAGTGAGACATTGTTGAAAATATGTTTTTTTTTTAATTATTAATAACGGTCTACAAATCGCTTCGTCGATTCCATGTCACTATTGGATTGGACATGAATTGGTTTTTTTTTTGTTTATTATTTCAATGATGAAGTCTTTCTTGCCTGGTTTTCAAGGTTTGGGTTATTTAATTACACATTGTTGAATAATGAATCCATAATATACTGATAGATTTAATAATAAGCTTGCCTTTGTTTGGACTGCTAGGTTCTGCATTATTTGTTTTACTTCTACGTCTCGCCATGTCTTCAACTTCTTTTTCACCCGTCGCAGGTGCGTTTTCCGTGTCTTCAGCCTTCTCGTGTTTTGACGTCACGTCCTGCACCGGTACTATTTCCGGTTTTTCGCCGCTTGCCGATTTTTCAGCTGTCTGCATATCGTCCGTCTCCGATTCACCTTCATCTTCGGTAGATTTTCTGCGTTCTTCTTCTAAAAAGATATGTCAGTTAATTGTAAGTACAATTTTATTGATATTGAACAAAGAATGTTATGTTTATTGTTTGACTAGAGTTAGAATGACATGGCAAGTACGCCACTCGACCGAGATTCACAGTAGACGTTGTAAATGTCAACATCGAATCGTGATAATAAATAAGAAAATGTCTGTAAAATCACCGTTTAATATTAGGGCCTGCCCCTGGCCGAGACATATTTTTTTTTAGTGCATACTGGTTGCTATTTATACAACGTCACAAATATTTTCATATACAAAAAATACGAAAATAACCCTACCAAAACTGAAAGATTGGGCGTTATTATTAATAAATATTAAAAATTATTAGATCTACCGGTATCCTTATGAATAATATTGACATCATTATTCATGGTCTGTACATTGTTGCAATGTTGTACATGAGAAACATAATAATTTAATTTAAACATGCATTATGTAAGAGCTAAATATGCTTATTGCAGGACTTTCTTTGGGCCTTAAATGTTATAAATTATTAATTAGACATTTATTAACATGACAAGACCATAATCAACTCTTGATGCCATCCGATGGCTTCGATTTTAAGTAGATTAGAACAGTTCAGCCATTTAGTGTTTTAATTTAGAAATGTAGAAGCGAGGCTAATAGTATTAAGTAAGTGCAGGGGTACTGCACAACAATTAATTACACAAAACAAATCTATGAACAAGACACGATTACGCAGAAATCACAAACGTACATAACAGATTAAGTGAATGGATCGTTGGCTAGCCGTAAACATCCAATAAACAATCAGGAATATAACCCAGAGAAAAACATATTGTAATACTAACACTAGTACGAGTTATGATCTGCAAAATACAATAAGTAATACACCTATAACAAATGCAAACCAGGTATGTTGAAGAAATAGTACTATGAAAGTGTTTTTATATAAAGGCCCCAAATAAGGGCGATAATCCAGATAACTGCAGAAAATTTAAAATAATTATTCAATTAGTAGATCATTATCCAATATGTAGTTGGTTATAACTTATAAGAAATGTCAAAACTTGGTATGTTGAAGAAATGGAAGTTTCGAAATTTCTTTTAAATGTAATCGTTTTCTGCCTTTGGCAGTGCACTTAATAAAATAAAGAGACTTTATTCTAGAAAGAAATAGTTCTTTATCGCTTCATATTGTTAGAAATCGTAATGCCTGTGATTGTGAATAGAAAACATTATATAGTGTGACATCTATGTTACTATAAATTGACGGGTATTTTACCACTTCAAAGCCAAATTTGTCCGTTTTGTCGAAAATACCAACATTAAATTTACTGTTAAATATACTGATATCCAAGCCAAGAACAGGTGCAGTTATAGTGCTAGAGTTTTCTTTATCTAATATTAGTTCTGGGGGATATATTTCACTTTTATATTTGTTGAAAGTTCCGTTGTCATTGATAGGTGTTAAATGTCATTATTGGAAGGTATAGTTCAGACTTTTAGCTACTTTGTAATCAGTTTTTCTTTTATGATCCTGAAAGCAGATTTCATATTTATATAAATGTGCTTTTGCCATAAATGGGGCGGAGTCGGTTTCCAATGGTAAACCAATTGTTTGCTGTATTAACTATTATCGATCCCCAACCGCAAATATGGCATTGTCAATGAGAAAATGTATAATCTTTTGGAATTTTTCTTTGTCAGTGTTGGCATCGCGACGTTTTATAATCCATTTAGCATTTTCTAATTAAAGACTCAAGTGGACCAGTGCAGTACGATGATTACAATCAATGCACACATCTTGTCAAAACTACAACCATTGATAACTTGGCTCAAAAAATAAAGTAATTTGAATGAAATTTTTAGTATCACTATTCAGTTGCATTCTAATTTTGAAATATTATGGTGAGAACGGCCAGTTCTTTATCTAAATCTTACATAACCCCTTTAAATAACCTAACTGTTCTGTTGTCACTCCACATTGCAAACAGATGTGCAATTATTACAGTACCGTACCCTAGTAAAAAAAACAAACAATATTTATAGGCTTTTTAAACATAATTATGCAAGAGCTAAATCTGCCTATTGCAGGGTTTCTTTAGGTCTTGAAATGTTATCTAAATTATTAAATAGACATTAATTAACTTATTCTAACTGTAATCAACTCTCAATTCCATCACTAGCCTGCGATATTTAGTGGATTTGAATACATTTTGTGAATGATAATTAAACGTAAAAATGGATAATCAAGACTTTGTTTTCTATCGTATCGACTTTAGTAATGATGATCAAGACTAGCCTAAAATTCAAAAGCTAATATCTGGGTTCAGAGTGGAGCAATTTGACTATTATAGAGAGAACTGTCAACTCTTTATCTTATCTCTCATAATGCCCCTTTTAAGTTTTAACTGAGAAAAGTAACCCAATACAATATGTTAAGCACAAATTTAATTTTTATACTTCCACTGGACGCATTTTGTCGTCGACCTTGTGTCCATTCACATTTTTTTTGTGGAACCCTTTACATGTCACAATTGTTATCTGATTTTGACAAAACTTGAAATATAGGTTTATATCCCCAAAATCTCGGCTCCTTTCGATATTGGTATCGGGTCGTAACTTCATGGATTATGGCCACTCATGGTACGAAAAATCACGTTTTCAGCTTGTGGTCACAATTTTATTCGGATTTGGATGAAACATAAAATGTATCTTTATAACCCAAAGATCTCTGTTCCTTTTCATATTGGACAGTAACTTCCTGGATTATGGACCCCTGATCGTACAAACAATTGTGTTTCTAGAGGTCACAGTTTTTAATTGATTTTGATGAAACATTTAAAATGTATAAACCAAAGATCTTGGTCTTACGATATTGGCACATAAAAGATCTTTTGAGTTTAAGTTTGCAATGTTTTGACTACTAATTAATTTGAATGGCTCAAAGTTTCACATATATCATTATCATTTGAACTATGGTAGAGAACTGAATACAACTAGAATGTTGATAAAAAAAACCAATTGTCCTCCAACTTGCATATTCCTTTAAAGGGCATATGTGTCTAATTTTTTTTTACCTTAAAATAGACGAAAATGGTTCTAAAACTAAGCACATATTAATGTAATATGAATGTACATGTATATAAAGTGGTTTATGTTCAATTTTCGAAACAAAATATTGTAATTTCTAATCAGTCATGTTCGGTGAAATAGGTGAACATTTCAAACTGAACGGCAGTCGTTTATGTCTGCTTAGTCCATTCTACACATTTTTTTTATTATTATTTTGTCGTTTGTGAATCAGCCTTTACTAACAATCGGATTAAAGATACATTATGGGAGATAAGATAAAGAGAAGGCAGTTCTCGCTATAATAGTTAAAAACTAGATAGTGTAAAGAAGCCGGTGAAATTTTTGCATAGTCTCGGTTATCATTACTAAAATCATTAATATAAACAGCATAGTCTCAATTATCCACTTTTTCTGATTTAATTAACTTTGGCCGTTAGCGGCATATAGGAATCTAATCCAGCCTACATCGAAGGCTAGCCTTGACATCGAGAGTTTATTATGGTCTGGATAAGTTAATTAATGTCTAATTGATAATTTAGATAACATTTCAGGCCTAAAGAAAGACTTGTAATAAGCAGATTTTGCTCTTGCATAATGCATGTTTAAAATAAAGAACTATATTTAGTTTCATTTTTTTATACTTTCGATGGGTCTACATGAAGATCTGACCAGTTGTTGTGGGAGGTTGCGTCAGGGGTAATCTAAGCGGCTTTTGACCTGTGATGTATATAAAACAATCAGAGTTGATGTTTCTATAAGGATACCCACAGTTCCGTGCATTGCACTGTCAACAGACAGTTTCATTGGCTAATCCCTCAAATCAACTAGAATGCTGGTTATAAAATCAACACTTCCAGAGCCCACTGTAGTATTAGTAAAGAAAAGTAAAACAACATTTTGAACTATAAACAAGCCAACAGTGAGGCTGATGTCCCCCGCCTAAATCCCAAAATAAATATACTCTTCAAAAAAAAAGTAGGGGATATTGAAATGCAAATACCTATGCAGGTTGTGATATGATAAATAGTCATGGACACTTGACATGCTTTGAGAGTATGTTCACAGATGAAGAACTTATCGGCCCAACAGAACCACTGAGTTGCATGTGTGACACGCAATAGCGCCATACACATGGGAGGGGTTCATTGTCAAATTTGACACCTCAAGGAAGGGTTGATGAAAACTGCTGCTTGCTGGTTTATCCTATCCATGTTTGCTTTCCTATCGGTTCTTGCATAAGATTTACTGTTTAGCATATCTTTGCTTTAGTGTGTTACATGTACGTTTAATTGGCCGTCGCACTGCAAGAGGAGTGGGTCAGATTGCCCCAAATCGTGATTGGACAGTTGATTAGGAGCATGCCACGACGAATTGCTGAATTTCTGAGGATTGGTGGAGCAATTACTCATTATTAAGACAAAAATCAAAAACGTCCATTTTCACTTTTGACAGTGTATCTCTTTACGAGTGAAATGGGGCCGTCAGATAAGCCGCCCATATGAACTGTTTATGTTCATGTGTAGGCAATTGGCCTGTTATTAACATACACTGGTTACCTCTAATAAAAACAGCAGTGCTTTTCCGAAGTTTTGTATTGTTTCTCAATATCCCCTACTTTTTTTGAACAGTATACATGACACATATTAATTAATAGTATCAAAAGTATCAAGCAATCAAACTGATTATCAACTATACACTAAGTTTCATCACACTCTATCAGATAGAATCAAAGTTATCTTGTCCCAAAGCATCGACCAATGAAATTTCTTAGCTCTGCTTAGCTTTAGCTCGAAATGTTAATCATTGAACTCCATCAAGACATTCACCTAATTAAAAGCCGAATTGTTATGTTCCAAAGTCTTGAACAATCAAATTGCTTATCGCTCCTTAGCCTAAGCAGAAAATTCTCATCATCGAACTTAGTCAAGGTAATAAT